TATATATGGTAAAACGACATCCTTGGGAGGCATTAAACAGCTTGGAAAAATACAACCCCGCGCGTATATTCGCGTGTCTTTAAAATGAAAATGGCATTTATACATATATCGCATGCGTAAGAGAGAGTAACTTACCTCTCTCTCTCTTTCTCCTCCCTGTACATATAAATTTCGATGCATACTCCCGAGGAGAGCTCTAAAACTTGCCAACTTCACTTTCGCGTGCGCATCTCGCGACGAGCTTCCGAGCTCAGCTATGGCAGTTGAAAAATTGTTGTGACTCTCGACGACGACTGCAGCGAGTTTGCATAAACACATGTAACGCGCGGCGCGTTAACGTCGCGGCGCGCATATCGTATTATACAAATCGATATATCGCGCCGAGCGAGACGAGAAACTTTTACGACGTATTTTTCGTCTCTCGTGGTAGTAAGTAGTCTAGTATACGTAGCAAGGCAAAGTCAACGGAAATTATCGCGCGCGCTGTAATCGCATAAATTGCAAATTTTTACGTATATACAAGCTATAGCGCGTTCGAGACGCAATTTCAATCGCAGCTTTTCTTTTCCTTTTTTTTTTATTTTGCTTTATTTTTTATTGATTCTCATCATCGTGCGACCTCTATATACTTGCTCTCCTTATACGGAGGAATGAAAAAAATAGAGAGAGAGAGAGAGATGCAGAGAAAAACAAAGTTGAACGCGAATGGGATAGCTTCGCGCTGCGGATGATAACGCGCGCGTCAGCGCATAAAGAGTCAACCTATAACGCTTCGCTTGTTTTTGTTCCAATTAGTGTCACACGTAGATATATCGCGTTAAATAATAATAATAAGAATAATGACTCTTTGCGCCCGACCGGAGTAAGAGAGAAAGAGAGAATGACGATTCGCACGAGATTTTTATCGATTTTTTTCGCGTGTTCTTTTTAACTTTTCAACAAACACAAGTGCGTCGTGTGTGCGTGTATGTATAGAAGGTCGCGCCGAGTTCTCATCTTTGTAAGTCATTATTTTATCGCACTCGAAACGATCGTTTAACGGCGCAGCGGCGACGAAAACATAGGAGAGCATTTTCTCGAACGCATTTTGGCGCCGACGCCACTGTAGATCTAGACGAGAATTTTAACTTTGCGCGCGAGAGGACGATGGTTATTGGAAAGCCATTCGACCTCCAGTAGGCTACAAATTATGCCAGTCTTCTACTCCATTTTTCGGCCATGTAGCGCACGAAGCTGCGAATTCGAGAGTGAACTTGGGAATCGCTTCATAAAATTCGGATATAATGAGATTTTTAATTCAATGCCAGTACTCTTGTTTTTGTGTGTTAATGGCTTATCTCTCGTCGGCGTATACTAGGCGAATGACACGAATTCTTGGGGTATTATGAACGACGTATTACAAAAGCAAAGAAGACAGACAATAATACCCACGCTTTTATCATCTCTGTGTATTTTAAGTTTATAAGACGAAATCCGTCTGCGCGGCATTATTACATTGTGCTCCGAGACGAGCTGCGACGTTTCTACGTTGCCCAGCGTGCATATTATGATATTCAGCGAATTTCAAAAATAGAACGAAAATTTGCATAAACAACGAGAGAGAGAGAGAGAGAGAATTCGTCGAGGAACAAGGAAAAAATCACAAACCTTTTATACGACCGATTCGCGTGCTGCGGGGCGAGCTCGCGTTCCACATTTCGACTGAAAAAATAGACAGAGATGATCCCCTATCCCACGTGCGCGCAGAGTAGCGAGCTAAATAAAAGAATGAAAAAAAAACAGCAGCATCGGACGACGAATCGACGAGTTTATTGTTTTATTGGGCTGAGGCGAAAGTGCGCACTTAAAAATGTATAAAAACGATTTACAGCCAGGGGAGCTAGTTTGAATTTAATGATTGTTCGGATGCTTGATTTTTATTATTATACCCAGACAGATCAGCAGCAGGAGCAGCAGCATAGTTGGCATCGATTACCACCTGTATTACTCGTTTTTTTATTCTCGACTTATCACTGCTCGCGCGCTCGTTTATTTATTCCCATCGTAAATTCATCAAAAAGTCGTCGAGTCGAACAAGCGAATGACATATCGAAAGAAGAAGAAGAAGTGGAAAAAGAAGATGAACGATTTCACACGCGCGCGCGCAACGATAGAAATTTCGATTATAATCGAATTATCGCGTGCTGGGATGCATATTGGGAGGCCCGACAAAAAAGAAATAAATAACGACGACTGACCGATACGTACGCACAGATTCGAAAACAAAAACTGCGCGCGGTACCGGAAATTGGTTTCGCAGTTGTGCCGCGCTCTCTGCATATAGGCCGACATCCGCTATATGTACGCGCCGTATACAATACCCGAAAGCGCACACGCAATTTCACATCGTCGACTCGAGTAATTCGCATTTCGCTTTCACGCGGCATTAAAAAATAAAAAAATAAAAATAACGAAAAAAAAACCCAACAAGAAAGAAAAATAAAGCTCAATGATACGCGAATGCACGCTGCGCTGCTATAGTTGAAAAACGTTTGTGAAAAACTCGTCCCCCCTCCCCCGAAACACAGCCATCTCCTGTCGAAAGCTCCTGCTGCGCGTATACGTCTATTTTCGCAGCAGCAGAGAGAGAGAATAGCCCGTCCCGCGTGCAATAATAAACTCGAGACGGCGCGTGAAATTCCCGGACACCTTTGAATGATATATGCTATTTGCATATAGAGAGAGAGAAAGGCGTGTGTGTCTGTATGTGAGCGAACGTATAAATAAAGCAAAATAAACAATCGGCCTCGCGCGCGCGTTGGTGATTACGTATGTGTAGCTCTAAAAGCAACAATATACTATATATAATAATAGGCGCGATCGAGCGAGTGAGATGTTGTATGCGCTCGACGCGTGGTGCTGCGCAGACGGCAATCGCGGACAAATTAGCGTCGTCGCTGCACGAATAAAGACACACGCGCACGTATGCAGTTATAGATACTATACGACGGCGACATATCCGGTGAGTAAGTCTGTGTATGTGTGTCTGCTCTGGCAAAGAGAAACGACGTCGAGCGAAGGCTTCCGCGACTCAGGTGTGTGTGCATATAAAATATGCACGTGTGTACATAAAGCAAGAGAAAGAAACGACGCTTCCGATGTTTGCAAGCATACGAACCTTTTTTTATATTATATATTGTGTGCATCATATTATACGTGTACAATATAGTGGCCATACAGCACCGAATCCTCGCGGCGACGGCGCTTAACCGCAACTGTATAGTATACACACACCTATACACAGCAGCGACCACTTCCGCGCGTGATCCTGACATGCAGCACCGACAGCGACGAAAAGGAAAAAGAATCATCTCTCTCTCTCAACGAGACGTGTCTGCCTCGTGATCTCGTGCATATGCTCCCGTTTTCGAGCCAAATAGGATGTATAACGTAAGTCAAAGCATCGATGATGTTCGCTCTCTAATTCGTAGATATCACGGATTCGCAAGCTCTCGCGCAAGCCGAGCTTATAAGTGTACACGTACGCTTCGTTAATTACCAATCGCTAGGTGTAAACATGATCTATATTCGATACTCGATTTAAGATGAAAATAATTAATTAATCCCCCGATATACGCTTGATGTTTTTTTTTCACGAAGAGCCCCCCAATGAAGTACGCGTAATCTACGCGTATATGATATACAAGTGCACACACACCCGTGATTACGCATTCGGATATATACACAGTATGTATAGCGCTACACACAGAGTACGTCGCGTATCGAGTTCTCAAAGCCTCCCCCGCGCGTATCAAGCCGATGATGAAATGACCTTACACACATACACACGTACACAAACGTATACGCAGATGACTCGCTTGGAAAATTGCTACGGCCAATTAATTTCGATCAATAATATAAAGCTCGAGCTTGGGATATATGTATAATATGTACTTGCATACAAATGTTGTGTATGTGTATATAAATCTTGGTATCGATTTTCTACCGTACTATACATATGTACCGGGGTCATTCGCAAAAGGCGCAACAAATGCCGAAAGCTCGTTAATTTCGTCCGTACTTATAAATACATATGCTTTGTACTATAGATATATTATACCCGAAAAAAGCTTAAGTGGCCGATACACGACGCGTCGAATCGTATATATTTTTTTTTGTCGAGACTCTCGGTCGGTCGTCGTGCGTCATCCCCCGAAGGGTGATAATCGACTTTTCGTCGAGATTTTCGCCCTATTACGGACATTAATGTTCGCCGCCGAGCGACGACGAGTTAAGAAGCTTATAAAGAAGTATAACAAGAAAAATAGTCTCTCTCGGCGCTGGCGAGCGAATCGTTCCTCGCAATGCTTGCACATATAAAATGTACGTTTATACATAGCTTCGTTTGTTATAAAAAAAAAAACGGTGCACATAATATACGATTCGCACGCCAGACTACTACTACTACTACTACCACTACTTCTACTGCTACTTGCTATAGCACACTCGAAACGGGAAATAATGCAGGAAACTCTAGACCCGCATCTCATATAGGTATATATATTGTAGAGACACTTGGAAGGGCATACCCAAATGACACCCTCTCCGCTCGCTCGCTTCGATATCAAATTAACCCTATATATATTATATTGTGCATGGAAGCTACTCTCGTGCGACGACACACGCAGATGCCCTTGCCGAACGAGCGAAAATAAAATGAAAAAAAAAAACACACACACACAATAAGAAGAGGAGGAGAAGAAGAAGGAGGTAAAGGTATCGGAGTTCCGGCCAGCAGCGCATAGTGCCATCATCGTGATCATATGTGCTTAGCGCACGCACGCAAGCATGCACGCACGTGGGCACAAAGGAAGAAATCCGATCCTCTCGCCTCGGTCACGTGAGTGGAGCACGACACACACAAGTGCAGCACTATCCACACTGTATACTTAATAATAACATAGCGTAGAATACAGTAGCATATATTCGCGAATAAAAAAAAAGAAGAAAAAGACACTCACCTGCAGTGGCAGCCTGTCTCTGGTAATAGTCGCACTCGGCGCAGACGGGCCGGCCGCCCTGCTGCTGCTGTTGCTGCTGTTGAGCGAGGGCAGCCGCGGCGGCCTCCTCCTCCATGGCGTCCTCCATCTCCTGGCGTGCCTGCGCGGCTATGCACAGATCCTTGTAGCCCTCGGGCGGGCTCAGGGTCTCGCGCTGCTGCTGCCTGCGCGCCTGATTGATTCGGCCGCGTTGCTCTTGCTCGCTACTGGCCTTGTTGTTCATGGCATTCTGTTGCTGTTGTTGCAACTGTTGTTGTTGCTGCTGCTGATGATGATGGTGATGCTGCTGTTGTTGCTGTTGCTGCTGACGATGATGATGTATATCGTTATCGTCTTCCCCATCGTCATCGACTTCGTCCTCCTCCATGTCCTCGTCCTCGTCGTCCTCGTCGTCCTCGCATTCGTCGTCGGGCCCGTGGCTGCCGTCCTCGAAGTGCAGATCGAGCTCGGCCCGACACTCCTTGCAATTTCCGAGGCGTATCATCTCGTGCTCCTGGCAGCAGCAGTCGCACTCCTCCTCGTAATCCGGGCAGCACTCCTCCTTGATGAGGATTATGTAATCGGCGGCGAAGAACTCGTTCATCTTCTCGTTGATGACGACGCGATTCTTGGCGGCGCCCTTGGCCCTCGACGACTGGCCGGGTTTTTTCAGCAGGCTCTTCAACACGACCGGGCCGCCGCTCGTGTCGCCGCCGGCTTGTTGCTGTTGCTGCTGTTGTTGATGCATCTCGGACGATTTCGACTCTTTGTGTTCTTTCATGTTAGGTGCAAAAAAAGGCAAAGGATATGACCCCCTTTACGCACGCAAGTCCTAGATAAATTTAATAATCTCGTGTCTCTATAAAACAGAAAAGCGTCTTCAAGACGACAATAAGCAAAGATCGCAGCATGTCATTGTATCCTCCAGGACGAGTCGATTATTATCATCGACTACGAGCCTCATGGCTGCTGCCGCTGCTGCAGCACAGCGGCGGCGTTGTCGGCGGTAACAGCGGCAACGGCTCCAGAGACGACGACGACGACGACGTCGTTACTCTCTCTCGCAGCAGCAGTAGCAGTAGCAGCAGCGGGTGGCGGCAGCAGCAGCAGCATCGGCCACCCCCGTTGTTGCTGCCACTACACACACGCACACGCACGAAAGCTCCTTCTCTGTGTGTGTGGGAGCGCTACGAGGAGGGAGAGCTTATCGATCAGCAGCAGCAGCCGTAGAGAGCGAGAGAGTACGCGACCCCCGCGCGCGGCCACCACACCGCCGTGCTTCTCTCTCCCTTGCAGCAGCAGCAGCAGGCGAGAGCTTGAATGCCACAGAGACCTGCTCTGGCTCTTTCACCCTCTCAGCCTCTCTCTCGCTTTCTCTGCCGTTCTGCTCTGCTCTGCTGCTGTGTATGTGTGTGTGTTTCGACTTTCGTCTACGCAGAGAGTCTCTGTCTCTTCTCTCCCCTTGTACACACGGTTATGATATTTTTATTTTCGTATTTTTTTTTCGTAGCAGCGACGGCGATGACAGCAGCAACGGAGACTGTGTTGAGGGTGGCGGCCTATGTCAATCTCTCTGTCTCTCTCTCCCCTTATATGCGGGGAGTAACCTTGGACTTCTATTTTCGTAATTACTACTATAACATCGGGGTCGGTCGAGTCAGTTCAAACCTTCTTCTTCTATTCTTTTTTTTGCACTTATTCTCTTCCTTCGTCGTTATCCTGGGTCATCAACAAAACAACCCACCTCCACGCACACACAAACACACACTCGATTCTCTCTGTACGGAATTGTGTGAGAAAATTTCGCAGCTCGCTGCTGTTGTGTATGTATACGAGCCGCCGAGTGAGGTGCAAAGTCCCCGGAAGCACACGGATACACACACTCACGCACACACAGAGAAACACTACACACAACTATATAGATATATAATACGCTGCTGCACCTGCCAGTGAGCAGTTTTTTTTCTTCATATATTTATACACGCGCACAATTTACACACGAATTCAGTGAGCCGCGCACGTATAACACACAGACACAGGCAAAAAGGTCGTTCCCTCTGAGCGCGCGAGTATTTCGCGCGCGCGCTTCCACCCTGTTTCTACGAATGTGTGTGTGAGAGCAAAGCAAAGCTGAATATCTGTATGTATGTACGCGGGTGCACAGAGGAGCAGACGACGCTGCTGCTGCTGCCGACGACGTCCTCTCTTGGCTCCCTCGCTCTATCCTTTGCCGTTGCTTTTATGGTGTGTATGTCCTGCGCCCGCAGAGTCGCGAGCCTTTAACACACCACACCGTGTATTATTCGTCTGCTATACACAATGCGTACACAACTCGCCCTCTCGCCGTCGCAGGTAGATGTTTTGTCTAATTTTCCGTGTGTGTTTGAGTAAATTGAAAAATTAAAAATAACAACAGTAGAACGTAGTATTATTCCTGCTTAGCCACTGACACGCGCACAAACACCAACACCGAGAAAACTCAAAAAACAAAAAAACGAAGCACACAGTCGTTCACCCGCGATATATATACGATATCTAGCGATTCGCGCACTCGTCTTCGCTTTATTCATTCATATATTCATTTATTTATTTATATCAAGCGCTGCTCGCTTGTTTTTTTTTCTTTTTGCACGTCGAATCACTGCGTCCAACGACGACGATGTCAATTCAACGAAAGCCTCGCGAAACAACAACGCGTGTTTAACGTTATTATATTTATAATATTATGACAACAACAGTAGTAGTAGTTGCAGTATCGTGACACTCCACAAAGCTCGTCGTCGTCGTATTATACGCACGATACATATATACACAAATACAAATATATGTATGTGTCAGGGCGCGCTCCTCGGGTTGTTATTATATTAAGTGTCGGGCGCGCGTCGCGTTGTGCACGGCACGGCCAGGCCACGACTGACGTCGCTGCGGCGGCGGCGGGACTCCGAACTCGCGATTCTCGGCTGCTTTTCTGCACAGCTATACGCAAGAAAGAGAGAGAACTCTGAAAACCTCTCGTTCTCGCCACCGCTCCTCGCTGGAGTCGCGCGCGTCGGCGCAACCAGCCAGGCAGGCAGGCACATGCGAAATATATAGATATAGGTATACCGTACGTGATATATGCGCCTGCTATTCCGTGTGTAATGTGCGAGAGCGAGTGAAAGAGACCCACACTCACACGCACACGGAGACACACACGATGGTGAATGCAATGCACCGTCGTTTATGTATGTGTGTGTATAACGCACCTGCAGCATCGGCCCGAGTAGCGCAGACGGTGTACCTTTATGCACTTGTCGTCGCGGCGTTTCTATCGCTGTTTTTTTCTTTTTTTTTAATTTTTTTTTCTCCGAGTAGTTCCTGCCCGAGTGTATAAGAGAGACTCTGATTTTCGCCTTTTCGGACAAGCTTAGGCGTGGGTGTTGGCTTGAGAATTTCCCTTGGCATCTGAATTTTGCGCAGCTCGTGAAAAATCACTCAACGCTTCCGATTCCATCCTTATTTCTCTTCTTCTTCTTCTTTTGTTTCACGTGTGTGCACACGCCAAGCGAGTGAACACGCGGCTAAAATCATAAAGCCGAGAATGAATATGTGCAAGGAAAATCAGATTAAAACGTATATTATACCAGTGCGAAGGTAAATTTCATTAAACGCGTGATAAGACTCATACTGTACGTCGACAAAAAAATTCGCGCGTAATTTCTCAGAGGCTCGCGGAGGCATGAAAATGTTGGCGAGACTTAACAACAACACAACGATAAAAAAGTTAAGTAATGGCTACTTTGGAGAGAAAAATGGGTCGTTGCCGTTTTTTTTTTTTCGTTGTCTTCGAAATACCCGCGAGTAACTCTAGTTTAAATAATGTAAATAATATTATAATTCGGACGAGCTGCTGCTGCTGCTCGTTGCTTTTGTGCACCACCATGGTATACACGTTGAGCCACACAAATATATAGCTTTACCTCCCCGCCCTTCTTCAAGCTGGCGCGCGGTAATGTTATTAAGAGAAAAACTAGTTTTTCAATTCGAGAGGTGGAGACAGGACGAAAAATTTAGATTCCGGAATTCTAATCGTCGATAATGACTCGGCGCGCGTATATATAAATAATATTTCGATCACGAAATTCCTCCTGGATGCATCATCGCGCGACGTTTCATTTATTTACATGTTTTTTTGTTTTCATTCGCAAGGGGGAGAGAAGTGCACTTCAGCGAGTTTCGAGCATTTAACGACAAAAAGAGCATAGCATAATTAAAGTATAATCCGCCGAGCTTACATCGGCGCGTTGTAATTTAATAATTTGCTCGGCGGCGGCTCAGCTGCGCGCGAGTATTAATTATACATGCATAATCGTGTGAAAAACACGATCGAGTCTATAAGAGCCCGGAGTCGATGTGTAAAATCCTGTTTCAAACGTCTATATATATGTTTGAAATACGGCGACCAATGTATAACATTACGTTTACATATCGCACTTATACTTGCCGAGTGAAATGCAGCTGCTGCTGCTGCTATGGCGAGGGTATTAGCATTATACGCCGCGATGATGTGTATATCCAACGTCTATCGTGACACTTCATAGCACGTAACGTCACGAAGCTAATGTAACAGCAGCTCAAAGTCCGTACATCTTGAAATGGATTTAGCGCAGATATACACACGATGTATATAGCATTACCGTTATAATAAACGATATATATATACAAAGTGTGTGGCGCGAGATCAAAGGGACTCTGTGCACGTGGACGTTAAATTCTGTACACCAGGTCGTCATCTCTCTGGTTCAAGCTCGTGTGTGTGTGTGTGTGTGTGTGTGTAACGTAATTGCCTTTTGGGCTTCCGCCTAGCGCATGGCAAACGTTTTTGAATGATAATCGAGAGTGGATATAGTGTCGGGGATTCGATATATTTAACGACCGCAGCGTGAAAAAAAACCACGGAGTCGTTTAAATGCTAATAAAAAAAAAGACGAAGAAGAAAAATTGATCGAAACTTCGACGAAGCGCGATACACTTACACGGTGCGAAATACGATTTATCGTCCGGTTACGCTGAAAAGAAATCCGTTTATTACACAGGCGTCGTCGTCGTCGCGGCTAAAAAGCCCAAGTTTTTAATAATCGAAATAGAAAAAAACTTTGCTTGGCAATTGCACGCGGATGCTCCGCAAGTTGGCTACATGAAACTCTCTGTGCATTCAAAACGAAATATATGTACTTTGTCATCCTATAACGACGAAACTTTTTTTGCCTTCGTTAAAATTTATCGGCACGCGCGTACAATAACGGACGACGAGAAAATAAAAATACAATTTTTTTTCTACATCTAAACTCGACGCAAACAAATTTATCTTTATTTTCGAGGGTGCGAAAGGAAAACGGATCGCTGTGTATACGAACACATAAAGACGTGCGAGTCAAAAGTTGCGCAACGTGCGCGGGGCACGAGAAGAGGAAGAAGAGAACTCGGGAAATTGCCCCCGCGACACTTTATACTCTGCTACGATACTACTGCTTCTGCTGCTACTCTCTGCGGAAGGTATACATATACCTAAAATGAATATTACACGAAATTAGGAAAGCTACTTTAAGGGAATACGGTGCTTGCGCGGGTATGCCCCCAAGATTGATCACCCTTTACACGGCAAGTTTCGAAATAATTAAATTAAGCACTATATACGCGCGGCTGCGTTAATAAATCTTTCGTTTTGACAAAACCTCTTTGGTGGTGCGCGCGGTTATCGCGTCGAACGAAGAGCAGCAGCACTGCACTCACGTAGGTTTCGCATTTTTCGAAACGAAGAAAATGTGCGTATTATATATTCCTCCGAAAACACAGGTTAAAACGAGACGACGACGATGACGCGAGCTGTGCATTAACGAGGCCGAATATATGCACAGACACACGCGAGTACGTATCGCGTAATATATGCAGTTGTAGCTAGCGTCGCTAGTACTACTAGTACAGGCGAATGTTAAGCCGAAGATTATACGCAAATACGGTGGCTCTCCTGCGTATGGATATCTTGAACGCCTCGTCGCATACATATTGCAGCCTAGGCGCGAAAAGCGCGTTTTCTCTATATGTACTCCATTATACGTACGTAGATGTGCATATATATAATATCGCAAGCTCGGGGTTTTGGGTTTTCATTCGACAAATAGCTGCTGCGCGTTCGATGATGCGTTGAAATTGAAAACAACCGGCCACAGCGAGTGAATAATACTGGCCGCGCGCGGGGGCGTGTGCTCGAATCTTTGCCGAGCGTACATGGCGCACATTTGTGTGCGAGTATTTTTCTTCTCTGTCTCTCATTCTCGTCTGCACCCGTATAGATACATCAGAGCGAATTTATATTCGACCGAGCGATTGCCCCGAAACTTTTGCTCCCGAAGCCATTTTGCCTGGCGCTGCACTTCTTCTTCCTCGTTTCTCGCTCGTTTTTGCGCGCGCGAGAGGGGCAGAGATTTTTTTCTATTTTTTTTTTCACGGCCCTATCCTGTTTCAGCTGTTTTTCATATCGCGAGCGCGCAACGAACTTTTCATGTAAATATTCCTGAGTGCGCGACAGATCATTCGAACGAAATGCCAACTTTCGCCCAAATGGGTCTGGAACGTGTGTGTCGGTGGAAAAGATATCCTATACTACACACGTGTCTTGCTCGCGTCGAAGGAAGAACGAAGAAGAAGGAGGAAGAGAGGAGGAAAAAATATGCCATGAAAATGTTAACTTTTGCCCCTGCCGACTTCTCGTCGTCTTCGTCGTCGTCGAGCGCATATAATGCATAGAGCATGGCTCTTCGAGTCGCGTGTCTCGGGAGAGAAAAAAGGAGTCGGCTGTGCCATTTTTCCTTTTTTTTTTCTCTCTCTCCGTGTCTAGAAAAAGGGTCACCCCGTGTGCATCGCTGCAGTATTACGTTATTTATACATAAGCCTTCTGCAGTCCAGAGGGAATTAGTATACACGTGTATCGAGTCGCGCGCGGCACGTATCGCTCGAATGCGAAGTTTAATAAAAAAATAAGTACCAATTCATCTATGTAAATAAATTTTCGTATTCGAAATTTCACGCACGGCTAAAATATAGTATTGTCTAGCTGTGTGCTCCGGTTAGCTCCAGTTTATTCACTGCTGGTCACTTAACGATTTACCTGGAAGTGACCAATAGCGACGACTATGAAATAGGCCTATACTGGTCTCGAGTTGATATTCGAACAGCGCGCCGTTACAGTGGTTCGAAGAAAGTTCTGGTGGAGGTCGCGAGGTTCAGAATCCAACACTGAAGCACCGTCTACCATTACATATGCTCCAAAAGATATTCGATAGAGAATGGATAGTCAGTGTATAGGTATAAATCAGTACACATTAAGACACCACAGAGTGTCTTATGCAGAGTAGGAGCAGTATCTGCTAACTAGTACTATCAGCCCAACCAGGATTTAAACCGGATTCAGAACATACATACTCATCTGTTAATCTATATGGATGAGTTGGATAGATACATAACATTTTTTATGAAATTTTATTTTTTTAATTTTTGTTATATATTTTGTTGTTATTATATTTTTTTGTGTTATTATATCTTGCTGATTTTCTATATTATTCAAATAAATACATTTTTTAAAGAATTCATTTAATTACTCAGATTTTAATTTTGTTGAGTTTTATTTTCATTTGAATTTTATTACGAACATATCATAGGAGAGAGACGGGCATGAGTGACACCATAACTTCAAACTTGCTTCCTGAAGCGAATTTTTAAAATTTTTCAAATCTGAAACCATCATTGCAAAGGGAAGCTCAAGCTCTATAATATATATTAAAATTGGAAAATTACAATGAAATCTCAATTTTTTATTGAATTTCAAAAAATTTGTCACAATTGCCCGTCTTTTTTCAATGGCGGGTAAGTGTGCCACAGGAGTCGGG